GAGAGGAAGAGAGGGAGAGAGAGAACCAGGCCGGGGTCGGGAAAAAAGGCGCGGCCAGGAACAAACAACTGTGAGAACAGAGGGGTGGGCCGGCTGTGATAACGAGCCAAATCGCCCATCACCCAACCCGCAAGACAGCTGCTGAGGGGGCGGCAAGCGGAGGGAGATGCGGAGCAGGAAGCTAGGGATCGGAGGAGACACACTGGGAAGAGAAGGGAGGTGAAGGAGAAAAGGAGCAAGGAATGCATAGTTGGTAAGAGGCGGCCGCGTCCACTCAAACTGCGCAGGTGAAGGGGGAAAGGACACCAAAAACGGAGAACAAGAGGCGGCGTAACAGGCAGGAACAGCACGAACGACGAGAGAGCGTGTGGGGAGAACAGCAGGGCGGAGAGAGAACACAGTAGGAGAGCGACCACCTGGACAGCAAGGAGGAAGTCGGACCAAAGAAGGGGAGGACCGAAGAAAAGGGGAGATGGCACTGTCACCCCACGGAGGGGGCAAGGTGGCAGGAAGGTGGGTGCTCCTCGACGGGGAGGTGCCCGTCTTAGTGCCGCCCCTGGGGTCCCACCAACCTAACAAGGCCACCAAGCGCCCATTGCTCCATTGGGCCCAGGGGCCAGATATAGGGCCTTCAGCCCAAGCCAGAAGAAGGACCAGAGTTTCTGCCTTCAAGAACCTCCCAGCATGAGTCGCCTTGCGCCCTAACTTGTAAATCGCAGACCCCCAAGCCTCAAAATCCTGACGGCCCAAAGCGCCTAAAAAGCGCAAGAGCTCAGGCATCGTTCGGCTTCCAGGCCATCGAAGGGAATTTAGGAAGTGTAGGTGTGCTTCGACTGGAGACGGAGTGCAGGGCTGGGGAAGTGCGGAGGCTTTGGGGCTCCCAGACTTTAGAGCTTCTCCCTGCAGGAACAGCAGGCCTTGATAGGGCTGTGGTCAGTCAAATCCGCGACATGTTCGTCGACGAAACGGACGACAATTACTACATCCTCGAGCTGCTCGGCCAGCTAAAGATGCGTGATGTTGCGAGCAACCCAAGGGCACCTCACCTCTCAATCTCCGATCCGCTCTCTCTCTCTCTTTCTCTCTCTCTCTCTCTCTCTCTCTCTCTCTCTCTCTCTCTCTCCGTTCCTGAAACATTCAGCACGCTAGCGCGACTCACGGATCCCCAACATGCAAAAGTCCCCAAGTTCGAAAGCACAAAGCCTGAACCGAGCCGTGATAGTCGCTGAGGTTTTTTGATGTTCGGGATGCTGCCGAGCATCGTCAGCTAATTGCTCCGGAGACGGAGGAGAAGTTGCGGAATGAAAGGCATCCGCACCGACAGGTGGGGCCCAGAGCAGGATCTTCCGCCACCTGAAAGCTAACACCACATCTTTTCGGCAGGCTGAGGCGCTTCATGCGCCGCAAATGCCGCCGCAAAGGCGTTGCATGCAGATGCCGGCGACTTGCTGGAAGAGGGGTCGCAGACCTCATTGGCTCCCATGCGTGGAAGTAGCGATAGGTAGGAAGGATTCGTCAGTGCTGCTTTTGGACTGGCCTTTTCGCAGGGGTCTGATTGCTTTAATCGTGCATGGCTTGATTCTGCATCTACAACATAATTATGGACTCAGAACTGAATCTGCTACCCGTTTAAATTAGTCGGTGTCCGTTGTTTGCGCTGTCTGGATATCTATCTTCGCACACATACAATCCCTGCCGAACTTTGGCACTAACCATTGGGCCGCGTGTAGTTGTATCTGAATGTCCACGTGTGCAGTCCAGTCAGGAAGCCTCAGGCTGATTGCCAGCCTGCGCAGCCACACACATCTGAAGCTGTCAATCAGAAACCAAAGTCCGAAGCGAAATCAAGGAAATGCCCAATGCTGCTGCAAACTGGTGGCAGCAGTGGCCAGAAACTTGCAAGCTCAATGTGCTGTGTTCGTGGGGCGCTTGTTGTGGCTTTCATTGCTTGGGCTCAGCTCGGTACATCGCGCCAGTAGTCTAGAATGGATTCTGCACCAGGCTACAGAATCAGTTCAAGCTTCTGGGCTCGGGTGCCTGGCAGTTATGTGTCATCCCTGCAGCGGTGGTGAAGCATTCCTGTTTCCGGAACGTGGGCACGCAGGACTTGTCAGAAGATGCCCCGTAAAGCGTAAAATGCGAGATGCCTCCCTACAGACGTGGGCCGAGCTTCCGGTGCACAATGAAATACATGTAGGGAGGCGGAGACAATGGTAATCTTCGTCTTCGTCGTACATAAAGCTTGTGCTTTAAGAGTGTATCCATGTAGAACATTTGGGCCCCATCTACGAGATCCGACACGGTGGAGTTCTCGGGAGTTGGGGGAAGGCCGACTGATCATGGCTCAGGAAGATCGTGCCATCATGAGCATCGCCGAAGAAGGCGTAGCTCAGCTCCCCGGATGCAAGAGACCAGTTTGGGGACCGCGAAAAGTTGAGGCGGTTACATAAATGGAAGCTTCTGAGGCCCTTTAAATATCGTCAATCCAAGGATATGTATGTTTCTGGGAACTCTGCGATCAACAAAATTTTATAAACTCAACCTGCGAGGATTCCGTGAGCAGCAATGGTATGCATGCCTCTCTCATCACTCAATGAAGAAAACCTGTGGGGCACAAACAGCAGCAGTGTCGTAGAAGAGTCGATCAGCCATCGACAGCACAAACGTGCGCTTCGAGCAAGATTTGCATTGGAACACAAGGAAAGAAGCCTTTTGCCGTAACTTAAGCCCTACGTACGACAGCTCAACTTGCCGGTATTGACATCGCTGTGGAGTGCAGGTACAACTTACTGGGGGTTGCATGAGAGTGGCACAGAATGTCTTGCACTTCGGTGTGTGGCCTTGGCAAGAACTCATAGCTATACTTTGCTGAAATTCGCTCCGTGGTGACAACTTGGCGACAGGACGAAGTAGTTCTTGATATGACTGAACAAGCGAAGTCGTGCGCCGAGGAGTGGCTACCATGAGGATGGCACGCCCTGAATGCCTGTAAGACCACGGCGGGTTCCAGGGTCCCCCATGATGACAGAGATTCGTAAGCCTGGGACAGAAGGTGCTGTGTGAAGATTTTGCAAGATTCGGTCGCCAGTGGTAGAGTTCTTGGTTCTGATAGTTGGTGGTGTTTGTGCAGTTGGCTTTGGCTTGGAGAAGTAGCTGCACAAGCTTGAGTCCGAGGATGGGGATGATCATGCCAGGGACCTTCCTCATTCTGTTGCAAGGCCTGGGGAGGGCGAGACTGCTGTAGGATGGCGAACTGCATGACGAGTGGTGCCATAGCTGATCCGCATGTGTTGTGAAGGGTTCAGCTGAACGCCGAACCTTGCAGTGATCAGCTTAATTGAAGCCTTTGCCAGTCCAACCTGACCATATGGTGAGTGAGCTTAGACTCGTTTAGATTATTGGCCGGTTCAGTCGGAGTTGTGCGGTGACAGGCTCATCTGTTAGCGATAGCTGACAGTTAAGAGTAGAGGATAGGTAAGCGGATATATAGACAGTGCTGTAATAGTGGTTAGACAGGTCAGGCAGTGGGTTGACGGCTCAATGCCATCAAGTTTGAGCGGAAAGTAGGCATGACACAGGAAATCGCAACGAACAATCGTGACAGTATCAAGAACGAAGAGAAACCTGACGTCTCCTAATTTGGAAGCCGAAATTGTGACTCTGGAAGTCCTAGCCGTGACTGCGTCTAGATTGCAACGTCGTTGGAACCATCCGGCAAGGCAACTGGAATTTCTCGACCTAAGGGCATATAATTAGAGTGTGTGTTTAAACTGAAGCCTCTCAATATCTCTCAATCTTCGATCTAAAGTCTCCGCAATTGCATCTCCAGATGCCCCAGAACCTTCAATGATTTTCTTCGTCGAGCCCGAACCTGCAAAGCCAGGGGTTCCGCGCGAACTGCTCAACGACAGCTGTGTGGCCTAGAGGATGATACGCGTAGTCTTCATTGGGTGGACTATAGGCATAGGGCTTCAAGTCTGCAGGGCGTGGGTTCGGGGCACAGGCTTGCTGGCCGTGCACCTCGACAGGCTCTTCCATGCAGGCCCAACGCCCATCACATTGCTGTTTTCGTCTCCACATCATAGCGAATTGCTTAAAGTGACGAAAGGCTCGTCACTAGTGGTGCAGCCCGTGAGACACTGAGGTGGAGGCCATCCTCGAGCAGGCTCAGTGCTAAGGGAGATTGGGGTGCAGGGGTTGCCAAGCAAGCATGCATGTGTGTACCTGCACATACACACATACATACACAAACATATACATACATACATACATACCTACATACATACATACATACATACATACATACATATGTATATATATATGTATACATATATGTGTCACAGTAAGAGATGTATGCGATCATGCATGCTTGCACATACTCAGATGCAGAGTGGGGCAGCAGGAAAGCGAGAGGGGCGAAGCCAGAGAGAGGCATAGCACGGATAGACCAGCGGGACACGTGAGAGACATACGCAGACAAAGAGAGGGAGAGAGAAGGATAAGCCTCTACACTCCGAGGAGGAGGCTGTTAACCTGCTGACTTGCAGGCCGGCCTCTCCGAGGATGTCGCGAAGCATCTCGCAGAATACCAGTGGTGTCCAGCGTTGTTAATTCGGGGTTTCGCGTGCTTTTGCGGTTTGCTGATGCTCGGGCATAGAACGCATCTTGGCGCGCAACGGATTCTCATGTTCAATCGGATTCCTTCCGTCGAAAGTACGTCATCCGGAAGGGTGGTTGGAGGCACACTGGAAGGTTGGAAGTTGAGGTTCTTGGACACTGTAGGTATTGGGGGCCCGGGCACTTTAGGCTTTAGGGCTTTGGGGTGAAGGAGAGCTCAGGATTCAGCGCTTGAGTGGCTCCAGTGAATCACGGCGTTGGAGCTTGCTTGCGACGAGCATCTCCTGCTCCCCAGATAGCTAACCGAGGTTCACAGTTCACGATGAGAAGGTTAGCCTGCGTGGTCCGGGGCCCAGGTTCCCCCATTAGATGTGGAGCCGGCACGGTTTTGCAAGTGGCGGCTGTTCTAGCTCGAGCATGCAAAGTGTTTGTGTAGCAGAAGGGTCCAGGCGGGCCGAAGGCTTTTGCAAAGCAGCCTTGTTGGTTGAAAATTCCTTATTTTGTGGTACGCTTGCGATGTCACATGTTTCTGCAGCCGGACAGCAGTCAGGCATATTTATGTAGCTTCGCATGCTTAAGGGGCGCGTCACAGGAAAGCCCCACGAGATCCCACGAGCTCGAACACTCCCACGATGACAGGACGACCCCGAACCCCGGGCTTCCTTTCGCATCTGCAATGATCGGGAGCCTGGTTGTGCTGGCCTGCGTCTGGAGTGCTGCTGGAAAGCCGCGGCAGCCGAAGGAGACCTATGTGAAGGTACCGGCCGTTCCAGAGCCTTCGGGCTGCGGCTTGGCGAACCTCCTGCGACCTCGGGTGGACATCTTCAGCCATTTGGGTGAGGCACGGCGACTGAATCTTACGGCTTTGGCGGCTCAAAACACGGCACCTTCGAGCTTGGGAGCACATCTTGTGTGTGCGCGTACGTATATGTATAGTATGTATGAGTTTATTATATATATATATATACACACACACACATATATATATATATGTGTGTGTGTGTGTGCATGTGTATGTATGTATAATATATATATATATATAGTAATGTAATGTAGTGTATTCTAATGTAATGTAATGTAGTGTAATGTAATGTAATGTAATGTATAGATTTGTCTAGATAAAGACATACACGCGCACACACATGTTTGTGTGTGTCCTCTTCCGAAGTCCTCCCGCATTGCAAATGACTGGAAGCCCCACCAATTTCTTTCCAAGCCATGAAGCAAACATGCAAAGCAGTGACAAATGTCCTGAATCCTCAGTTGAAGCCTGGAGGTGACGGAAAAAGCATTCGTCCAGGCAGCGGAGGCAGCTATCCGGGAGGCGGCGAAAGCAGCCTGGACACGGCTGGACGCCAATCAGGACAGCTACAAGTGGCACGGTTCTGCGAATGCGGTGGTGTTGTTAGATCCACCAGCCCACCACCTCCGCAACGACGACCGCTACGCTTGCCTTTGCCACTGTTGCTCTTGCTACTGCCCCTGGTCCTCTTCTGCTGCTGGTCCTCCCTCCCGCCACTACAACGAACAGCATCTACCATCCGAGCAGTCACTGCAACGCTGTGTTGAGTATCAGCATGGCCGCTGCCATGAGTTTTTACGATGCTTTTTGCATTTTCGATGCGAAGTGTCGCTGATACTTCTTTCCAAGTATACGAAAGTGAGCAGCATACAGGTATTCAGGGCTTACCATTCTTACCGGTTACGGGTGTTGAATACGAGTGTTTGGAGGTGTGCGTGATTCAGATTTGCATGTGGTGTCTCGAGCAGTGCCCACATGACTCGGGAGTTCTTGGCCCAGAGCACTGGCTGACTTCCAACCTTGCCGGTGTAGGATTCAGGGTCAAAGTTCTGCACTCCCCACTTCGAGATCTCTACCCTGCATCGTCTGGGTTTTCGGGCTTGGAACAAGAAGTTGGGGCCCGGTGACAGTCCCAGAAACTTGGCGGGAGAGCCAGGATGGAAACTTGGACATCGACGAGCTGGCCGTGGCTGTCCGCTCCTCCTGGAAGTCGAAGCGCTTCCAGCCGCCGTCGAATTCCTGGATTTTCTTGCTCCTGTTCGGCAGTTTGGTACATGCTGTTTGTTTCCCTGCTGGTCTCATGGAGGTTGTGTCAAAGTCGGAACCGTCAAGTTAATAACTGCCATAGCTTCAAAGAGCCCTCAGGGCTGCAACCGAGGTTCGTGTTGGCAGACGCTTTCAAGACCATGGACCTGTCTAGGCGGGACGGTCCCGGGTTCACGGAGTTCTGACCTTTTTGAGTTAGGGCTCAGTGTTCAGGGTCTACGGTTCAGTTTACCAGCATTCATGGGGGTCTGTATTAGGTACATGCAAGTCTGTAAGTGTTTGCTTCCGTTACTATGGGGTTGTACTAAGTTCCTTGGATGCTGGCGCCGATCGTTCAACCAAATGTAGATACACCCGTGAAGACATCAAGAGTAGTACAAGCTCTGTGGGTAACAGATTTGCTCATACATGCATAAACCTTCATATATATATATGCATGCATACACACATGCTTACTTGCTTACTTACGGGCTTGCTTACTGTGCTTGCCTACATTCATACAGGTGTACGAACTACATGTATACTTCTCTGAAACGCTGAGAATCGAGTTTCAAGGTCAGCCAGGTTGAGCGCCTCTGCGATGGAAGAAGTGGTCGAAGAGCTTCTGCGGTCTGTGAAGTTCCTGGACGAACGAAAAGATCTTTTCGACAAAGGCGCGGCATCAAACGGCATTAGATTCTGTCTGATTCTTTCCTGCTCTATTTCCATTGCTCACAGTACATTGTTAAGGCTTCTGGTTCATTGCATTCACATGTGCTAAGTGCTTGCTCTGAGCTCCTGCCAGTTGCCGGCCCGGGCGTGGGGGACGAAGAGGGCACGTTCTCCGTGGCTGCCTGGGAAGCCTGGAGATCAACATAGCAGGGCAGCAGATCGGACATCAGACACGGCAAGGAGGGGGGCCAGAAGCGAGCTCTCCGAGCAGACCTCATCCGGCGTACCTCAAGGCCCTCCAGACGAAGGACAAGGGGACGGAAAACAAGGCCCGTGGCCAGAAATCTTCGAGCCCAGTCTCATTTAGCTTCGACACTGAGCCTCCAAATCCATCAAAAGAGTATCCTAAACATCCCTGAACCTATCCTCAACCCCATAACTCCCAGATCACGGGTTCCATGGAATCCCGCAAGTGTTTCACCTCCGAGAGACCGACCAACGGGCCGAACCCGTTTGCGCTGAAAACGGGGGCAGGCTTGGGATATTTCCTGGTTAAACTTAACATGTGACTGCTTTCTTTATCAGCCTTCCTGTCCGAGTCCTGACATGAGCTCTGTAGAACCCTGCTTCAGGAAAAAGGTATAGTGTAGGGCATACCTGTAGGGCTCACGGAGCGTGGAGGGCTTTGGGTCTGCCGCGTTCAGGGCTTCGTGCGCAAGGACGTAAATTGAGGCTCGCGGCAGCCAGTTGGAGGGATTGATCGTTGGTTTCTTCTCAGGGACGACTAGGCCGTAAGTGTTCTATAAAAGGGGCCGCCATGCGTGTTGGCAGGAGCGGCAGAGGGTTTTTAGGTTCTTTGCGATGTGCTTACCGAAGGCAGGCCCTGGCCAAAGACATGCCCTGCCGAAAAGGCCCAAGCTCAACCAACAGGGTTAAGGGTGTAGGGTTCTGACTGGCGCTACTTTGGTGACAGCAAAATTGGTTCTTAGTCGTACATGATGCACACCAGGAGCCAGCCTTGTTATCTGGTGCCTCGTGGCATTTGGGACCTTCGCACTTATGCTTTGTGAGGTCAACTGAATGCCCCTTAGCCGGCCACAAGCGAAGAGCCTTCCTCTGAAATCGCGTTGCCCCTCAGGCCCCGTGTGAACTCCATCGTCGGATCGTTCCCCCAGACTACATCCAGAGCAACAAACAAAGGGTTCACGGTTTGGGTATACTCCCTGCTAAGGCCACTGCATGCTGAACGTGCTCTCCGAATCTGGAGTTTACCGGTGCCTAAACCACTTCGCAGGTGGTGGAATTAGTGGACGGCGGACTTGACTTTGGAATTTGGCGCTGTTGGTTCTTGGGGCTTTAAGTTTGTAAGTTTGAGCGGGCCAAGAAAAATGCGCTGGAAGTTTACGTTTTCGAGCTTGTGGCTCGCGGGGTTCCAGAGTCACTCGGAGTTGAGTTTACCCGGGAACGTTTATCAAAATGCAACAGCCGTCACTCCGTCAACATGCTTGCTTATTTAATTGTGCCATGCTGTCATGATTGCCGCTCGGCGTTGATTTCGGGCCTTGAGCAACTTGAGCACCGAGACCCCGTGGGCAATGGGTTAGGGCCATTTCCAAGAGAACCTTTCCCAGTCTAGCTGTACCAAGTCTCAGTCTTCAGAATTCGAAGCTGCGGCTCGGGTTTTCTGTGTTGCGCAAAATTCTCCCCCCCCGACCCTGCATCCAAACGCTGCCCTATAAGCCACGAGCTTTTGCCAAAGCCTGTAGGTTTGCAGCAAACCCCCTGGCCCCCACCCAAGTTCAAACAGAGCCTTACTTCCCAATGCTGCGATAGGGAGGTTCAGAGGCAGGCAAACAGTATGCAGAATGTCCTTCTTGCGGAGGTGGGGAAGGGAAGGGGCCATCGAACCTTGTCATCTAGGAAGCGCATGTTTCAAGCCCAAAGCCACTGGACCCCAGCATTGGAATCATAGGACAGCCCGAAGCGGATTTGACAGGCTGTTGTTGGGGTTGTCGCGCGACGCTGGCGTCTTGAATGCATTCGGAGCTCTTGTTCTTCAGGGCTTGCTGTATCCCATTGCCATGTTGTCGAGTTGAAGCTGTTGCGGTGCACACGACCGCTTCGGATACTTTGGCATGCATCCTGTATCACGAATCGATTCACTTGTGGGTTTGGATCTCCAGAACAAGCGGAGAGGCAGCTGAGGTGTATGGCGAATTGTCAATGCCAGCTTGCTTCCCAGCAACTCAGAATCTTGGGCTTCATGCTCTGGCTGCCATATCCGGTAGGATGCTGAACCTCTGTGTCTTTGTGTCTGCACTTCCGGCATGGCTGTCACCAGCTCTCGACGAAGGTCTTAGTCGGGGAGCACAAGCGAATTGGCCGGGTTTGGAACGTGAAAGCATTCATGCTAAATCACCTTGGGCACTGGTGCCAAGGAACGGCGATGGTATTGCCGCTTGGCTACCGGTCACTGATCTTGGAGCTGTTCTTCGAACTTATACACCCTAAGTAACCAAACCCTACAATTCAGCCTCTCCCCAAAAATGGAGCTCAAAAGGCTAAACTGCAGAGACTGTTTTTCCTGCCCGGGCTTTCAATCTTATTGTCTCAGGCCTCAGATGAGTATAACTTCGATCAAGCAGAGGTTGACTGGCGAAAGGAGTGCCTATGCTCGCAAATGGTGCTCCAATCAAGAAGTACGATGTTCGTACAATTTTTGCTCTAGACTGCAACATGCCTATGATGTTGCAAATGTGTCTCGTGTGTAGGAAGCTTGTGGAAAGTCATGCATAGGCGCACATGTGTGTGTGTGTGCGCGCATGCATGCACATAAATGCATATCGTGTGAGTTGTCATCACTTCGCATAGGCACTGTGTCGTAGCGTGCGCAGGCATAGTTGCATGTAGGCATCTCAATTGAAAGTAGAACGAGCATTGCGTGCAGGAAGCGGCATCAATGGTGGGTGGGTAGCAGGGAGAGTGTGTTTGCAATTCGAGGCATGCGTGCAGGCACATGTGTATGTATGTATATATGTATATATGTATGCATGCATGCATGTATGTATGTATGTATGCGTGTATATAAGTAGGTAGGCATATGATTATTACGTATGAACATGCGCATGCGTAGGTACGAATGTTTCTTCACAGACTTAGTGGTGTGCCCAAGTACTTGTTGATCCAACTGTATGTGCACTGCCTGCTGAGAATCTTTGGATTATACTGTCTGCGGCATGTGATATGCAAGGAGTGCCCATGAATAGTTGTACAGCAAGGTTGCTGCAGATTTGCACGCCGCTTTCATCCACGAGTCTATTTCTTGCGATAGCTAGTTCTACATATGGACAAACTTCTGCCAAAGCATGTTACGTCGATTCTACGTGTTGGGGCAAGGAGAGCGAGGCCTTGAAGTCTTGAAAGTCATTAGAGACAGGACAGAGGCTTGAGACCACTGCATGGCTACCCCCATCCAAGACAAGATCCTGCAGAGGCATCGCATCGGCACCTGCACCTGTGGTACTCAACTCTGTTCCAGAGCAGAAGACCCAAACACTGCAATAGCCCTTCCCATGCTACCCGTTGCCTCCGTTCATGCGCACCACAGCAGACTTCCAGCGTATCCAGATGAGCACGAAGTAACACCCTCTAAAGGCCCTAATCCCTGAACCCTCATTCACCAAGGCATGCCAGAGGCGGAGGAATCTTTGCGGATACATGGAACTTTGACGAGGTCCGCCATGGATTTGACACTAGGCATTGTGGGAGGCGGTTGGGGATTGTTGCCGTCGATTGTTTTTGTCATGCTGCACAGTTGCCGAAGCACGTCGCTCCTCCTTCGCTCTCATTCTCCCTGCCCCTCTCTCACATATCTCTCTCTCTCTCTCTCTCTCTGTGTCTTGTTTATCATCAACATAACATTCGCAAATCTGGGTGACATGTACTGCATACATGAGCACATACACGATTCTACACGTTGTCATTTGAGTACACTATTTACCTGGACTTGCGTACACATTGGCCTGCGCATGTTCGTTCGTAAATACGCACACACACACACTTGCATGTGTAGCCGTGACGCTCCGTGCTCTATCTTTGAGAAATTGTGCAAGCATGAAGGAATGGATAGATGGATGAATGGATGGATGAAGGGATGATTGCATGGATGCATGAAAGAAAGAAATGAAATAACATGAAATGCAACGCAATGATCTGGAAGGAAGGAAGGAACGAAGGCACGAAGGAATGAAATGGATGGAATGGATGGAATGAATGGAATGAAATGAGTGCATGAAATGAAATGACATGACATCAAATGAAAGGAAGTGAAATGAAATTAGATGAAACCAAATGAAATCAAATGGACTCAAATGAAATGGAATGAAATGAAGTGAAGTGAAGTGAAGTGAAGTGAGGAATGAAATGGAATGGAATGAATGCACGAATGAATGAGGGCATTAACGATGACATGAAATGAACTGTCGAATAAATGGGAGAAGGAGTTAGCGAGAGAGGAGAGTGTGTGTGTGTGTGTTCATACATACATTGACAGATGCTTTTCCCGTGGATCTGGCCCCTGCATGGAAGGCAGCGCACACATCCACTCGCAGCCAAGAACCGCCGACCACGGCACCCAAGGAGGTGGCTGGCCAAAGGTTTAGTCTTGGAAGCTTGAGAGGATTCAGCAGGCATTATATTAGCAGCCTCAAGCCGTAAGCTCTAAACCCCCAAACCAGTACCTAGGCAACATTGAAAGCGATTCGAGTGTAGTTTGTCTTTCATGGTTTGAGAACCATACGCACTAATCCCTGAACATGGGTGCCCAAGAGAAGCACATAATTTCCTAAGCCCCAAGCGATACAAACCTAAGCCCCGTAAACACCCAACAACCATGAAACAAGCCCGAAAAGCTTGTAAGATCCGAGAAGCCCAAGCAGGCTCAGCCGACTTCGGAAGCGAGCACAGACCTCAGCGAGTCCGACGACGACGTGATCGCCAAGTTCCAGGCACCAAACTTGGTGGGTGGTTTGGGGCTTAGGGTTTAGGGATTAGGGATTTTATTAGGGTCTTGTGAGCTGGGGTATTCAGCTGCGAAGAGAAGGATGGACTCTGGATTTTCGCGGGCCGTGCAAAGGCTGGACACCGGGAATACTATCACCAGTTACTAGCAATTGAGGCCCCCTCTGTTTGGGGGGATGTGTTCCCAATGCTCTTTCATGTTTACTGGATTTGTGATAGCCTAATTCCAAAATCAAGAGGCATCACGAAGATGGACGGGTGTATGCCAACAGACTCGCTTTTGCATGTCGAGTGTACTGGACGACTGTAGGCATTACTGCGGGCGTGAGCATGCTGGCCAAGCGTTCTAGACAGACGATAAGTCGAGAATCAAGTCTAACCCCGCACCCGCAAACTGTTGTCAGCGTCTCCTGTGCTGAATCTAGATTCCAGAGTCCATTATGAAGAACGACCATCTCTAAAAAAAGGGCCTTTCGTGTCATCGCGAAAGGCTTCAACCCGGCGCACAAGCCCTCGAGAACAAGGAAACATCTGGAAACCCGAGAGTCCCTCTAAGCACGTGGGGCCGTGGGTCTCGCAGTTGAAGCGCGCACAGGCGTCGGTCGGGAAAAGCGCGCAACATTTACACCACCTGTCTTCCACAAGAAGCTGAAGACAGCGCCGCTTTGCACCCAGAAAGGGGCCGGTCAGAGGAGTTCGAGCGCTTTTTGACTTAATGGCTCCTCACAAGTAGGCGTCCTGCGCATCTGTGACGAGTCCTGTGGCAGAAGTATTCCAACTTCGGTGTGTCATGTCAGCAAAACAAGCACAACCTGCACAAAAGGGTGGGCCGTGCAAGGTCTAACCAACTCCTTTTCAGGCTTGTGCGGCACAGTGGAGTTTTTGAACGGCATTTCGGGTGCATCTTTCCAAAGGGCGGCTTTGTTTGCGCTTCTGAGCAGGCACACCCCTTGGACCCTTGGATTTCGAAAGAATTTACAGGCGAGCTAAGCGAATGCCTTATAACGAAGCACGCCATGACGGCTGAGGGCCAATATCCCCATGAAGCTGAAAGCCCTGCATTGAGCCAAGAGATGCCAGAAGCCTTCGCAGACGGTCAATCTTGATACTCCTTATGAGCAGTGCTTCATCGTTGAGCATTTAAGCTGCCCTCTTGTGCTGTAGCCTCTGAAGCTAAACCCTGAAGAGCCCGAAACCGCAATACAAGGGCCTCAACAATCAAGCATGGCAGCCGCCCTTTTCGCCGTAAACTCCTCTCAGGTCGCCGAGAGAGGAGGCTGGGTGTTCGGGAACTTTCAGGGATTCAAGTTCATGGATACTTAGAAGTCAGGAAATCGCGAGTAGCTACCCTTTTTTGTTTATTGAGTCATGTAGGGTCTGCAACTATAATGGAGCCTTCCGGTTTGGTGCCCTTCAAGACTCTCTGCTGCTTCATCCGTGGATAGCTCCACCGTGTGACTTCCATGGAGGGACCTGTTGCAACACTTAGCCGTTTTAGCGCCTTCTTCGGCATGCAAGGCGGCCATCGGTTCCAGACGTACAGCAGATCAGTTTTATTCGCCAGCCGAAACTTGGGCTGGATGCATTGGGATCAAAAATCCTTGGATTTCTGTCAAGGGCAGCAGCCTGTTGCAGTGAGCATCGAAGAGATGCCTGCTGAAACAGCGGATCTGACACTACACATCCTGTCGAGAAGACGAGGAGAAGCCTGTTGATGTGGGGCCCGGCTGGGGCTGGCGTCGCAATGCGACAGGGCTAGCTTGTGCATGCGTTGGTGTATCGAGCTTCTGCCAACACTTCGGGTCAACCTACACCCTTGAGCCCAAGGGCAAAAAGACCAAGTTGTAAGGGTAAGAGACTTAGCACTTCGCGGGAGCTCGGAGACCAGCTTCAGAATTCAATTCGTATCTTCAGGCCAGCGCAATGCATGTAAAGGTTGCATTCTATTTGTGATAGGATGTGGTTTCAAGAGTGCCCCTAGCAGCTACAACCCAGAATAAAGAGTTAATCATAACCTCATTTTCCAACCTCCAGCATGTTCGGCTCGGTTTAGGACATCTAAGGGATTCACAGTACAAGCTGGAGCCATCGAGATTGAAGCACATGCTAACAACCAGGCACGAATCGATGTATTTAACCGCCGCTCGACACCACGCAAGATCCTTCTCCGCAGTTGTTGTGTTCTTTGTTTTTGCAGGCCACAGGCATGGCAGCATTGCGCCGACAGCGTGTGTCATATGCCACCCAGTCCGCGGTGGTACCCTTGCTGTTAGTAGTAGACTGTCCTATCACAGAGGAGAGCGGCACCGAGTGAAGATCTTTGTCTGTTCGGGGTTGGTGTCAGAAGAAGAGCCGATTGCAAGCGAGAGTCTGAGTTCATCCAGGGTACACGTCTAACAAAAGCAGCAGCTAGGGGCCGCTACAGTAGCGGCCCCAACGCAAGCCGGTCTCTGTTGTTTCGGGGATTGTGAAAGGTAAAGGAAGGCTGTGGGTTCAGTGGCTTTGCCTTTTGGCTGCCTAGCAGCACCACTTCACTCGTGCACCCTGGCAATTCCATCTGTCCGTCCAAATCAAGGGAATCTGGGGTTAGACTGATAAGGCCAGGGCCGGAGAGATGTCTCGCAGGATGAAGTCTTCAGTTGCACCGCCATGGTCCACGACCAATCCGTAACCCCCTAGACTTCAGTGGGTTGTGTCTCAGGAATAGTCCAGTTCTGCCTCTCCGCGATCAACTAACCCCCCTTGACCGACGACTCTTTTCCACGAGCTCCCACCAAGTGGCCTTGCTTAGCAATGCTTAAACACGGCCCCTTGTTGGACAACTACCGCAGGGGCGTGCCGTTGGCTGAAGGGCGATTCGCAGGGATGCCATGGGACATTAAGGATATTGCGGATGCACTTGAGAAGCAGATGAGTCTGCCATTTGCCAACGACCTGCCCTTCGTCGAGATCGCTTGAAGATCGCTTGGGTAAAGGGGTGTTCCATGAGGGCTGCCACGTTTTTCAACGCAGTCATTTGTGCCTGCTTGGGTGCGGAGAAGCACCATTCAGAAGAGGTGGGCGGATAAATTTAGACCGTCCTGATGCAGCCTCTCCGTTTGCATGGCGTGGCCAGATGTATATGTCTGTGAGGAGTCCTTGGCATTCGGAATTAGTTGTATGATCGAAGTACAACTAAGGCAGCAGCACACGTTTCTACGCGTTTGCTTTCGCTTGAGATGCCCCCTCGCACTTTTCAAGGCCATGGAGCATGGTTTAGACACAGCTTCGGGTTTCAATTGTTTGCGATCGGTGTGATGGCATGGCTTGTGCAACGCTTCCTCACTTGTCTTGAACGTGATGCAGAACCCTCTTGCAGAATTCTGCCGCCATCTGCCAGACGTCCGACTTCCGACTTGCAGCGCTTTAACCTTTGACGCCTGCCCGCATGTGCACAAAGGCTCTTTGGTCACACCGGGTGCTTCCTGCAGGGCGATTTTCAATGACCGCCTGGGGTGGAGGTGCCCAAATAACTGCAACCATACGGATCAAGTTAACAGGCTTCAACGACTGTTCTCGGGGTTTTGGGCACCGCCGGCACCACGAAGTATCTGGTGAGTTGTGTACAGCCGCCTAGCATTGAGGAACGGGCTTTGGCGACACTGGACAGACTAAAGCAAGCTGATGCCTTCACTGAGGAACGCCAGATATGCGTAAAGGACTCACCGCTCCATGCAACTGCAAACAGGGCCCTACAGATGATTCTCGTAGCAGAGTAAGCCACCTACCAAGGTTCGATTTCCGTAACAGCACGCTGCGCCACCGCTATGACTCGGTGAAATACGTGGTGAAGAGGCCCGGAAGCGTTTTAGGAGCATTGGGGTCTCTCCTCCGGGACCACTACTCTGACTGTGAGACGTAAAGGACCAGAACCGGCTCGCAGGCTGGAAACCATCGCCTACGAGGTCGACTTGGCGCAGCAGAGACAAAGCTCCTGCCCCAGTCTGTCATGAAACATCCTGGGTTGCCTGGAAGGTTTAGGCCGTGGGCTTCCTTATCTAAAGACTTAGGCTCTAAGCGCCCGGCTCCAAGAACTATAGAGATCCTGAGAATAGGGAAAGCTGACAGGAGCAGTAGTATCAATAGCGAGGACCGTTTCCACAAATTCCCAGGAGCGTTAATTGGTGACTGCCCTAGATGGCACACAGCAACCAGTTCAATTCTGCAAGACGCTCTACGACATGTATCTGTATTAGCTGAGGTTGAATGTAGGGCGCAGTTAACATAGCCTTCCGAGTTCACCCTTGGCTGTTGACGGTAGTGTTTTGGCGAACTTGTCACGAGGGTCATAGCAAAAAGCTAAACCGTGCCTTGATTGTGCTGGCAGGAGCGCGAGGTTCCGAAAGTAGTGCCAAAACTCCAAAGCCCCGATGCCTGACTCCAAAATCTTCGCCCCTTCCATTGAAGTCCAACCCCATGTCATGAGACCTCTAATGTGATTGCGGCATCAGTAGTCCTGAACCCACCTCCATAAAACTACTAGACCGAAAGCTCTTAGACACGTTAAGTCTTAAGGCTCCGAAACTGAGAACTTAAACTCCGAACACCTGCAACTTAGTGCTTCTATCCTTCGTTCAATGTTGACTGTTTGGCGAACCGCTGAGCCAGAAGAACTCCGAGACGAGGGCCAAGAAAGCCAGAAACAGAGTCATGACACGAGGAGTAGTAGGAAACAGGACTGCATTCACAACAGTAGAAGTTTTCATTACAGCAACACGAACAGGATTTCTGCTAATTAGACGGACAAGTATTGTCAGAACCGCCAGTGAGCATCACCATCCTAGGTGCCTCCTTGGCATCGGGCACGGCTCGCACCGCAGGGGCCGGAGAGTTTGCTCACGGGTTGATAGGGTCCCCAAAGAAGAGTTGGCTGGGCTAAGCTCCCTGTTCTCTGAAAGATGTTAAAGTTTACTTGAAATTCATTGGCCGCGAATGCTGTTAAATTCCTTGCTCCCCAGAGGCGTTCGAAAAGTTTGAGGTTTTCTATATTTCAGTGCAGATTGTTGTTCATGGAGGCCGAGCTGTGGGAAACAAAATTCACTTGAGCTGTCACGGCGTGGACCCCGATTCCACGCTTCAACAGTTGATGTTTAGTTTAGGAGTGTTTAGGAGTTTAGGATTGAGGAGTGCTACTGAACCCCCTGCAAGACAAAGATTTACACCGCTCTGGGCACGAAAACCTTCGAAAGCAAAAGCCCAAGCCTGTGCCCTCAGAGCAGCCATCGACTCCACTCTCCCACCCCACATCCGAGAGGCTTTCTCGGCCGTTCATCCTTGCGTGAGCGCGTCTAGAATAGAAACTCCATGTATCCAAGTAGCAGTAGCATAGCCCTTCAATAGAGCCTTTGCCTCCTGGCTGGGATGGGTCTTGAGGCATCAGAGGATCCGCCGAGTGAAGTCAAGGCCCAGGCTCTCTGAGGGGTTCGTGGGATTTGGGAGCTGCAGAGCTACGCAGGGCAGTTCGGGCCTGATGCCCCAACAGCGAAACTGCAAAATGGTTGTGTATTTTGGCGATGCAAGGGAATGTCGCGACAGGACGTACTCTCGGTGAATTCTTCGGCCCCGAATGTTAAGCATTGCGCGAAGTGGGCATTGAAGTTTGCGTTGGCACCATGCGCCTTGGCAGCTTTTTCTTCGGAGATGGCTTCAGCAAGCAACTTTAGAAGGCGACCTGTGGGTTATAACAAATATTGCAACAACACAGAATCCGAATCGTTTGACCACCCGTTCAAAAGGGTTGCAGTCTTGCTCCCAGTGGGCAAAAAGGGAAACTCCAGCATGCATTGCAAGCTTGCTCGTGCAGGAGCCGGCAGAAACCGGCACGGCAGTCGATCTGGCTCTGCTTGGTGAGATGAAGGATGCAAGGGATGCGAGGGGCATAAAGAGGTCCATTTCGGCCTGGTCGTCGACTGCAGTCGACTGCAGCAAATTCGGTTGCTTGAGCGTGCAACTTCCTGAATACCTGGGACATGTCGTTATCCGGCGGTTAAATAAAGTTTTGAACTGCAACGCAACTAGGCGATGCCCCTGACAGGTCACCGACCCGTCGTTTGCTTTGCAGCCTCGGCAGGAGCGGTATGACAAATTCACGGACACCAGAGATCAGGCACAGCTAGCTTCGTCTCTAGACACACTGACAGCGGCTAGTTCAGCTGCTGCTTCGGACCTGTGAATAAAACAGTTTCAGCAGGTGGTACCGCTGGCTTCACAATTGGTGATCTTGCCTCCGAGCGCACCAGTTCTGTTCGATTTACACTGGTCGCCAGATGCTGTAGGTCATCAAGCGTTCACGGGATGTGGGCAAAGCCGCCAAGAACGCCGTGTGCCGCGGTGATGTTTGGCCCTCTTTCCTGCTTCCTAAACCCAAAGTACCTTGAACTGCTGGGACCTGCTATGACTTCTAAGTGTGAGCACGTGCCCAAGGTATGCGCTGCAAAGAGCAGACTTCAAGAAGGCCCCGAGCTTTGCACGTGTGCTTGGATTCTAACATCGGGCGGCTTGCGTAGATCAGCGGACGAACCCTTTAGTGCCGGTACAGATCTAATGAAACGGAAAGCAGGACCCCCGGCCCGCCGACCCTTCTCTTTATCTTAAGCTGCAGAGCCTGTATGCCCGCACCTGACATACACTCGTGAGGCTTTTTCATGTTAAGCCCCGAGGCCACCACCACAGACCCCCCACCCCCTGGACACGAAAGCGCTGGTCGCACAAGGCAGATGGCAACTTGGCCCTCTGCGCAAAGGAGGCCCCATGAGCCCTCACACAGCTTCCGGGGCTTCAAGCCTAGGGGTGTGGAAGGCTTCAGTTTTTCCCAGGGGTTTTCTGGTCTTCGGTCGTCAGAACGGACCTGCAACAGTCAGAAGCAGGTTCAGAGGACTGAAAGAGCTCCCAAATGACTGATACCTGAACCAGGTAGGGATGGAGACTGTCAACGTGAATGTCTAGGGATCATACAGAGGAAGCTGAAGGCTCTTACTTTGCGAGAGTATAGGCCTCTCCCAGATCTGACAGGCGAACAACATCTGGCAGGAGCATGTCTCCACTGCACTTACATTGTCGGGGCCTTGATTAGGTCTTTAGAGCTTGCGGGTCTATGGTTGCGGGGACATACTCCAGACTTGCGGCTGCGGCATGTGCAATAAGTCGAACGTTAAACCCGGCCGCGAGTGGTAGAATCTCCTCGGATGCTTGTTTGGCATGGACATGGCTGTCTCAGCTCAGTGACAAGTTGGCTAAGGTCTCAGGGTGGGGATGCAAGGCTTTACCGTATATCAGAAGTCCGGCTCGACTCACTACCTCGCAGATCGACCCAAAGCATCATTTTGCCCCCAGCATGTTTGATTCGAGCTTCTCGACCTCCTGTTCTACGGTCATTTGTAAAACAAAAAAAGGTGCAGGACAAAAACAAATGCTGTAGCGAGCTCGGGGTGTTGATTCCAGCTGCTCCGCAGAACTCGCAGCACCCCTTTCAGAAAACTAACTCTAAACCCAAAAGAACCTAAGCCATTGCTAGTCAGGCGTTCTGGAGGATTCACTGGCGCTTTGGAGGACCACCGCAGCATGTGGGTCCTGCATGCACGTATACCAGTATGTATGCCTTTTCCTTTGTCTGTGTGTACATCTGTATATGTACACATACAAACATACGCACCTAAGTACACACATGTACAAGTATCTAATTATTCGTTGAACTGGCCAGCTCTACGCGTTTTCTTAGACTTGCAATGGGTTTGGGCTTGCTGAGGCAGGGGTCTCAGAGTGATGGTCGCAGGCACTTGCCGTTTCTGCAATGGTGCTTAAAACTTGCACTCCTAGGTCCTAGGTGCTTTGTTACTGCTGGGGTTGGGAAATGGCACATTTACTTCGTTACGGCTGGGGCGTACTTTCCTACGGGTACACTGACGATTTTGTTCCTAGCGGCCGAGGTCGAACTGCAGCTTGAACTTGACAAGCTTGCGAGTGTATCCAAACCAAAGAGCACGCGACACTTTCCCCGAGAGGCCCGGGACGGGGAGCAGAGAGAGAACGCAGGGGGAGTACAACCGGCTCTCGTCATGGGAAATCGTTGCGAATTGCAAAACTTCAGGCGTTGCCGGCACAGTAGTGCCTCGGCCTGGCAGTTGAAGCATCAGACCGGATCTGCTGGACAGCCAATGGCGGACCATGAGTTCACAGAACTACCCAGGTATGTCTTTCGCTTTGGGTATGTAAACCTTTGAAGACGAACCGCTGATTTGTGACCCATGCTTGGCTAGCTATCAACAAGAATCAGGACTCAACGCACGCGACGACAAACAGCAACAGTCCACAAACAATAAGAGACCCGGCCCAATCCAGGTCAGCACAACCGTTACAGTCCTTATGAGTGATGATGATGGCATGATATACCCAAAAGCCCAGATCAAACCGTCAGCACGAAACCCTTCCAATGCTCGCGGCATTGATGCCGAAGCCGCGAAATGTCAGGAGGTAGCGGAGGCGGTAGCCTACCGTGCCTTCCTGAAGGCCGGGTTTGGGTGGAACCAAGCTTGTCTACATACGTACATACATACCTACATACGTATACACGTATACAGTGTACACACGGCTAGATCGTAGGAAGGAAATCTAAAAGAAGCAATGGTTATATGATTCAGTAGTATGAAATACGCGATTGCATGCTATGGCGTATTTGTGGCAGATCAAGGTGAGTTTGCGCATCGACAGTCTGGCGGGAGGCTACACGCAGTATTCAAGACAAGATGTGTGTTTGGAGGGCTCTGGTCTTGCCGTCATGGGCTTTCACAGGTGCCGCTTTGAGTTCGGGCCAGTAGCTTCCCAGGAGTTTCGGTGCCTTACTAGTAGCACTCTTGAAATGGCAACGTCAACACATGCAAAGGCAAGTCTCGGCATATGCACACCATAACAGTGCATAAAATGACGAATGGCGCGAACAGGTTGAGAATCATTTTTGCCGAAAACAGCATTTAGTTCTTTGTACGTACATGCATGGTTGCATAATGGCAGACATGTGAAGAGACATCGAGGCATTGTACAATTTCACTATGAGCTATGTCACCACATGCCTAGCTATGACCTTAGGAGGGCTTAGCCCACTAAGGAGACCGAAGCTTAGGAGAACTTCGTTCACTAAGCTGAGGTCAAGAGAGCTCAACATATCGGCGCATGGCTCAAGAAACATGGCTCAAGCCAAACAAGTGATCTAGCATTAGTCATCCACTTTGCTTGCCATAGTCAGTGCGTACAGCCTTCCTGCAAAGACCGCAACAGACTTCGTCTGGCGCAAAGAAAAGGTCGGGTGCGAGTGAAGCTGCAAGGATTATTGCTTACTACGTTGGAAGCAAACATTCTACTTCAACTACAAGCTCATCTGAGGGGAGCGAGGTTATACGCTGGATCGTGTACCAAACCCTCACGCAGGTTATCAGCCGTAGGCTCTGCCTACCAACGACATTGACCCTGTGACGCACACAAAGTATGGCATCAGGATCAAATGCAGACACAACCATGACCTTTGGTGGTGAAGTGGCAATGCCAGCAGCAGGTGAGTCTACTGCCGAAGAAGCACAGACTATATCTGTTGACTCCATAACCACAGAAGAGGAGAAGAAGCCGCGCAATCAAGCAGCGGCATCATCATCGAGACAGAGAGCTATTTCGTTGCCAAAGACGAACTCGCAAACGCGATCATTGTCTGCCGGTCAAAGTACCAAGTCAAGCGAAAGAAGACCGTCCAAGTCCGTTATACAGAGCCGTCCTACCATCAAGAAGATGAAGGATCGTGAACCTCTTAGCAGTCCAGAGCAACCGAAGTCACGATCGTCGTCACGAAGCAATGCTCGAAGGGCACTGAAAGACAGACAGTTATCACCTTCTCCAATTTCGAGACGATCTGCTGAGACAACACCTCCATCACAGACGAAAGGTGAAGCCAAGTCGAACCTCATCGAGGGCGACGCGGCAGATATCGCATTGGACAGGGAAATACGAAGTCAAAAGAGAAGATTGCCGAGCAATCTCCCGGTGTTGAACCTGGTCAGCCATTCACAGTCAATGAATCATCAGCTCATCGAACAGCTCATGCATGCAGAAGAGAAGATGAAGATTGCTCATCAGGAGGATGTTCAACGTCATGAAGAAATTGCCATGAGTTTGCTTGCCAGGATGAACGAGATGGTTCAGGAAGACCAAGGATCAACAATGAGGATTGAAGAACTCGAACGTCAACGTGATCTTCTGAGCTAGGCAAGGGGACATGTGAACCAAGTCCATCAGAAAGCGCTCGATGATCATTACCGTGGTATTGAGAAAATCGAGGAGGCCAATCATGCTCAACATCAACGTGACGAAGAATTGGCCACGTCTCTACATCAAGAACTGGTGCAACTTCGAAGTGATGCTGCTCAAGCGTTCACCAACATCGAGCAACAAGCACAAGGCGAGGGGCAACAGTTGGCGATGGAGTACCGGAGACTCGTGGACGAACTCAATCAGAAAGCGCATGAAACCCTTCAGTTCAAGATGGAAGCCTCACAGAACTTATCTTCGATGGCTATCATGAAGGAACAGATGGAGTTGATGAAGAACGAGGAGAACGCAATGCGTGACGAAGCAACAAAGAGGATGTCCTACTTGGAATCAGGCGCTCGAGAGCTACGAAAATTCGTTGGATCGTAAAGAACTTGCCAAGTCGGAAACCATGCTGAGATTGCGACAGGTGGAGATGACCACTGGAAACGATGGTGGGGTGTGTCGCCATCTGCTCTTCACAGCGAAGTTGGCGAACTACGTCGTCGACTAAAGCAACAAGAAGAGTTTCAAGCACGCAGTCAACAAGCATGGAGGCAAGAAATTGAAATGGCCCGACGGCAACATCACGTTGCATCGCAACAATCGTCGAGTATGCCTTTGTCCTCCAAGTCTTCTGACGCAGGATGGGAGTATGTACAGAGTCAGGGTAGTCAAAGGGGTATTTCTTTTCCCGTAGGAAGTGAAGTGCGATCCCCTGAACTTAGTTCTCCTACTCTCCGAAGTCCTAGAAGCAGAAGCAAAGTGACATCTGATGCGCAGAACAGTGCACCTCCAATCGTGCAAGACGCGAGCATAGGTGATTCCAATGGTCCGTCATTGCCGTCGAGTACGGAGGCTGCACAGGATTCGTCTCAATTCCGAACGTTTCTTGCAAGTGGAGGTTACAGTGCTGGGAATGCTGATGCTCAACACTCAGAGCGAGCGAACGCGTTCCGCGGCGCTCAGCTTCAAGATCTCCTCAAAACGCAAGGAATGTGGAGACCATCAATGCCGTCATCATCTACTTCACGATCGCAACCGAACATTTTCAAGGAGAGTGATGACAATGGCACGGAAAGGTTGATCACGCACCTTCTCGAGGAAGATGTCAAAGATGCTGACGAAGAGAGGGCGCGAGATCATGAACGGTGGAAGAGATTAGAGTCTGAACAACAGGCACGCATGGATGAACTTCGTTCTGAACTACAACATGCCAGAGAGAATGAGAACAGGTTGCGTGGTGATCGTGAATATTGGAAGCATGAAGCTGAGTACTACAAACAGGAACACCAGCAAGGTGACGATTACGATGAAGGTGAAGAAGAAGAAGTCTCGCCTTCAGAGTCGCCAACCAACCTCGGCCCAAGTGGACCCGGTGGTGGATCAGGTGGACCTGGTGGTGGTGGTGATGACCCCAAGAAGTCGCCATCACATCGCAGTGGACCAAAGGGGAGGTGATCCTCCGGGACCGCCCTCTGACGCACCAACAGGCGGTGGCGCAGCCGATGTCACTGAAGTCGAGATATCCAGAAGGGAAGCCGATAAGATTGTCGTGCCTCCATTTCCGAAAGTTACTCATCTTGACAGTTGGATGTCACACTGTATTGCCAACGTTCTCGGCGCTTGCGCAGATCCAAATCACGAGGAATGGATCGCTTGGATCAGTCCAGCATTCAGACCGAATCCAGACATTGAGGGCATGAATGATTCTGGGCACCTCAAGTACAAGAGCATCGACATCAAGCTGGGTCTTGCTATGACAGCTCGTCAGCTGGCGATGCTGCCATGGATCTTTACTTGGACGTGAACCGCAAAGCGAATAAGTACGTCCGGGGCGGCAACATATTGATCAAAGGAAGACAAATCATTGCGATGATGTACGAGAGCTTCAGAACCAGGGATCGATTGGACATGGTCGTTACCCTTGAATACCTCATCAAGTTGCAGTATCAAGGTGATCAACACATGAGCGTGTTCAAGCAGACGTGGTTGGAATGCATCGATCGAATGCCACCAGAGGATGTACCATCTAACAATGCACTACGCGATACTCTACATTCAAAGTTCAAGGAATCGCCGGCACTCAAGATGGAGCTCCTTGTCCATTACGACATGCTCAACTATGACGACCCGAAGCGATCACATCAGACCTTGTTGCACCTTATTGACCGATGCATCCAGAAGCAACGTGAACAAAAGATGCTGAAACAAACTCAGATCGGACTACAACAAATGATTCAAGGCAAAGAGCCGTTGTCGGCATTGGCTGCAAAGGTGAAAGGATCGGAGGCTGCGACTCCCGCTCCCAAGAAACCGACGAAGCCGCCGAAGAACGAGGATGCTGCACCTGTACTTCCTCAAAGCAAGGCTAAAGCTCATGCCAAAGCCAAAGTTGGAAAAGGGAAAGGAAAAGGGAAGAGCAGAGACAGGTCAGAGTCGGTCGATGCCAAGGCGAAGATGAAGCACATTCGATGCAGGTTCTTCTTTTCTGAAACCGGCGAATGCCGGAATGGAGACAAATGTCCATACAGCCACTCGAAGAAAACTCCTGAACGTGGCCGCAGTACAACTCCAGATCCTCGACGCGCGCCTTCCAGAAGTCCATCAGCTGGGCAGGGAGAGAAAGAGTGTTTCAAGAACAACGGAACATGCAATCGGAACAACTGTCCGTACAAGCACGCTGACCCCGCAACACCTGCCGAAGGAAAACCAAAGGCACAAGCCAAGGCGGAGGCCAAGGGCAAAGCGGAAGCCAAGCCGAAGCCGAAGGGGAGAAAGAGAGCACTTCCAGCAGCTCCAGCCATTCGACTTTGTAGGGCATGGAATCCTTTAGCTCCAGCAATCCAGAAGCGGAACAACATCTATGACGATGATGTCTCGGAGTGTTCGCCTTTGGACAGCGATGCTGACTCAGACTGCTCGACCGACGACGAGCCGATGGTGAAGACATTGTCAACCAAAGAACGGGATAGAAGGACTTCGTCCACTATGCCCACAAAGGGAAGAAGAAAGTGTTGTTTGCTGCTGACGTTCGCTTCCAACCGTCGAAACCAAGGCGGTCCTACAAGGATCGAGGCGACAGGATTGTCAAGGTGGACGTCGAGCAACGCTTCCAGAATGACAACAGGATGAACGAGTTGGGTTTCTCGATGCACAAAGCGAGTTTGAAAGCGCAAATGATGAATGACATGGTGCAGGACGACAAGCCTGGCGATCGACATGTATATGTTCGAGTACCAGGATCCAACAGAGTCAGAGAGATAATTTTCTATGATGGAGAAGACGAACTACATGAGTATGACGTAGGACCAGAAGAGAGCAAGAAAGTCAAGAAGTTCAGCATCGCCACCTGCATGGTGCAGCCGACTTGGATACGGTCAAAGATCAAATTTCTCATGGACACTAGATGTGGTCATGACTTGATTTCTCAACGCAAAGTCGAGAAACATGGTTTGGAAACATTGGTGAGTGAAGAAGCCATATCGTTTCAAACAGCGAACGGCGTCACCAGTACGGATTTGATCTCCAATTTTCAGACTGAGTCATTTACGGAACCAATCAATGCGTATGTCCTTGACGACACGCCATCAGTACTTTCCGTGGGAAAACGATGCATGAAGCAAGGGTATGGGTTCATCTGGCCGCCCGGCGAAAATCCTTTTATGATCAATCCGGACGGCAAGCGCATCTCGTTGTTCATTCCTTACGTGCGAGCTGGAAGTCAGAAATCAGTTGCGCATGACGACGAGATGGAGGCTACGATCAAATCCATATTGGACCAAGGTAAGGAGGAAGATTCCGAGAAGGTGTTGAATGCTGTTGCCGCTACTGTGGACGCCACACCAGGCGAAGAAGGGGAACCCGACGGCTTCGCCGAGGAGTACTCTCCGGATTTTATACCTGATGAGGCACCTGATGAAGAAGTACCAGCAGACGAAGCAGGAAGACCTCCTGATCCTCCAGATGAGGATGGCGAACGAGCACACGAAGATGATGACGAGAAGGAAATTGAAGTGGAAGGAGAAGGGGCGCCAACGCGCAAAGCCAAAGTTGGAACCCTGAAAGCAGAGGCCAAGACTCTCGCTCATCTGTGCACTCATCGCTATCGGAATCCCTATTGTGAAGCGTGCATACGTGCCAAGATGACACACTACAGGACAGTTCGTGGAGCATTCAAGAGAGAGCTCAAGTCATGGGGGGACCTTATCACCTTCGATTTCTTGGACATGCGAAGAGCTGCCGATATGGGAATCGGCAATGACGACGAGGCAAGGGAAGTGTTGGTCGTTCGCGATGTCACTACTCGAGCTATCGCAGCGATACCCACTATGGCAAGACTGACCGAAGACGTCGTTGAAGCATTGAGGAGATTGATCGGGAGGAGGAAAGTCAAGCTCGCATACAGTGATGTGGCGCCGGAATTTGATGCCGCTATGGCACAGTTGCGAATTTTGATTGACCACTCTCTACCAGGGTTGCCGAAGAACAACTCCTTAGCCGAGCGAACGAACCAGGAAGTGATCAACACCGTGGCTACATCTTTGTTGCATGCGGGATTACCAGCGCAGTATTGGCATTTTGCTTTGAACTGTGTTACCCACAACCTGAACATCGAGGATGTCGAGGGTGATGGTGATTCAGCTTGGAAAAGGATGACGGGTGAAGATTTCAAAGGGAAAGCCATTCCGTTCGGTGCAAAAGTGTTTTTCAAGCCAACGGACACGAGGGAGAAGACGTACGCCGGAAAATTTGATCCAAAGGGCATTCCAGGAGTATTCGCAGGGTATGTCATCACGACCGGACAACAATGGTCAAGAAAGTACAAAGCTTTGGACATGGCCGAGTTCGCAGGTGTCAATCTCTCGATGGACGCTGCAGTACCTCGGAAACTTGCTCAACCTTACTTGACCGAAGTGGTGGTGTTGCCCGAAGAATTGGTATTTCCCTTGAAGAACGAGTACGAGCGTATGAATTCCACCTTGGAAGGTTTGACTGACAACAGAAAGTTGCAAGGAAAGGAGATCAAGGACAGAGAAGACGTTGACCGACCACTTCGTGGAGGCAACGACGATGATGACGATGATGATGATGATGATGATGGGGATCCGAAATCCGAAAGGAAAACCACCTCCAGACCCGGACGAGATCGATGATGGAAAAGGGGTCGGAGGAGTTCCTCTAGATGACTACTACGCAGCAGTCGATGCAATGGGTGAAAAGATACTTGAACGTGATGAAATCGAGGCAGGAGCACATCGTGCACCGCCATCGTCTTCCACTTTGAGGCGACCGGATGGGCCGGTTGAACATGATGACGTCGGACCATCGGGAGGGCTTATACCAAAGGGTGGAGAGGAAGATCCTGGAGAAATCCTGCGTCGCCTGAAGGATGCGAAACTGGTTTCCGATGACATTGAACATTGGGGCACTGGTGCAAAGGGCGATGGAAGGATCTACCTCAATGATGACGGGGAAGCTTGCAAGTTTGACAAGCGTGGTGTTCCATACAAAGTTGGCAGCGATGGCAGACGCATCGTTCCATCCCGACGGCCTAAGCATCTATACTCACCAGAAGAATGGGACAAGATGGATGCGAAAGCAAAAGAGAAGGCATACAAGAAAGCCAAAAGGGAAAGGGCAAAAGATGCCAAGAGATCCAGGAAGAGAGCCGCGGTGGGCAAGAAGTTGGTTGAGAAGGTATTGGACAAGATGATTTTCCCAAAGATTGTTCAATGTGACAAGATCGACCTCGAATTGGGGAGCTCATGCACAGAAGGTTGGGAATGGGCCCAAGAGTCTGTTCAACAACAACTGCAGGAGGAGTTTCTTCATGATGTCGTACCAGCCGTACCTGCCTGCTCCGTGTTCGATGATGACTGCATACCTGCCATGCCACGCGCAACGTCGATTCAGCACAAGCATCGAGTCAAGAATGGAGAACATGGGAATTGTTTCAATGCCATGGTCACACGTCCAGTCACCAGGAAAGAGATGGTCAGCAATCCGAAAGCGATGGAAGCATTCATGAAAGAATGGAAAGGATTGTGGGATCAGGAAGTTTTCGACTTCTCTCAAACCAGGGAATATGAAGACGTGGTAAACGAAGCCAAGAAAAAAGGACAGAAAGTTCACATGGCTCGTGTACATGGATTGATCTACGAGAAGAACTACCAGTTGAAAGAGGATGATCCAGCCAGGAAGTTTAAAGGACGCGGTGTGCTACTTGGTGATCAAGTCAAAGATCAAAACATGGAAGCCGCACTCTTCCAAGACCTCGGCAATTCGCCAGCCACGTTTGATGCATCTCGGTGGGCTGACTATTACGGTTGTTTACCCGGTAATGATGTTCAGATGGCTGATGCTATTCAGGCATACATTCAAGCAAGGCTGACCGGCACTCCGTGTTGGGTTGAGCTGCCTGATGAAGCATGGCATCCATCTGCCAATCGTCATAAATACCGTCGACCCGTATGCCGTTTGGTCAAGGCGCTATATGGACACCCAGGCGCTGGAACCATGTGGGAGCAACATTGTCACACCGCAGTACAGAAAGTAGGTTTCAAACCACTTGGGGACGAATGGTCATCGTTGTATTTTTCCATCCTGAAATGAAGCTGCTGTTGGTGATCTACGTCGACGATCTCAAGATGGCGGGACCAACCGCACAGCTGCCCAAAGGCTGGTCTATGCTTCGTAAAGAACTTCGTCTCGAAGAAGAAACACCATTGGGCCTATATTTGGGTTGTCGCATTTCCAAAGGCGAAGCTGTCCTTCATGACAAGACGCCAGTGCGAACGGTCACTTATGATATGGAAACGTACCTGGACATGACAGTCAAGAAGTATTGTGAAGTCACGGGCTTCGATCCATCCAAATTCAAAACGGTACCATCGCCGAGTCCAGCGGAAGAGACAAAGCATCATCCAGCTCGGGCTCCGGTATGCAACGGAAAAAGTCATCGACCCTTAGGCTAGTAGCCTTTGGTCAGTCCTTCGAATTCCGATAATAGAAGCCCTCACAATACCCAGTAGACTACTCCTAGGTCCTTGTTGGATGCAATTTTACATTTTTGTTATAACAACACCCAATAAGGATTAAAAGGATCATTTTTTAAAATATAGCCCCAACAGGGAACCAGAATCCATATGGTGCGAGGAGCAGAAGCTCTTAACTCGAGCTGAGCCCGGGGCCTCTTGAGGGAGCTGAGAGGTTTGGGGGTGTAAGGTCTAGCTTGAGTGATTGAAGTTTCAAGGAAAGGCAAGAAAAGACTAGTGTGTCTTTTCTCACAGGGCCTGTAATGGTTGCATGGGTTTTTTTTCGTCCGAAACCCAAAGGCCATTCGAAACCCAAGGGCCCCAAGAGCCGAAGCCCCATTTGGGAGTTTCCGAAAATGAGGGGTACCTTAATTTGGGGTCCTTAGAACAAGGATCCTACTGTTTAGGATACTATATTAGGGTCCCCTATTTTCGGAAACCCCCATTTAAAATCCAAAGCTCAAGTTCGCTGAATCCCCAAAGACTCTCGGAGTTCGCACGATTCCAGAAACTCCCGGATCCGGGAAGCGAGGATCCTCGGGTGATGTAAGGTCAGCGAGCTGAATTCTCTGCGTCTGCTTAGCACAAACCTTTTTTCACTTGTTGTCAGATACCACTCCAAAACATCCTCAAACGTAAAGCCACATCAAAAGCTATAGTTCTATTCAGATCATGAACCTGGCAAAGCAACAACTTTGCCGACTGCAAGCCAAGTACTTCCTCTGGCGAGTCCGAGTGTGAGAGAACGTACACCTTAACAGACGCCAATGCCGCAGTACCGTGAAGCCTACGCCCTAGTCCATCACAGCACTCTGGGGTCCCTGACAAGCCTCGTTGAGGCTGCAGCAAGCCACCGGCTTGTGGCCGGCTGAGATTTCACATGTCCGGGCTCCTTTCGGCTTTAGGGTTTGGAGTTCAGGCTTTAGGGGTCTGAGAGGGCTGGCCAAATTACGTAGAAAGCCGGACGGGTGGGAAGCGAAGGGATTCTACGGAGCTGCCCCGAACCGAGGAGCTTTGAGCTGACGATCCCGGAATATCTAGGAGGCAGGGGCTGCCCGTGAATGCGCATGACAGTGTCCTTAATTTGGGCCCGAAAGGTCAGAATCAGCCAGGCTGGCAGGGATGTAGACGGAGAACTCTCTGACTGCTTGTTTCACTTCCCATCATGAATAGGAATAATAGGAGTCCTCTAGTTTTTGCCATCGCAGTGGAGGAAGGAGCCACCGCAGTACCAGGTCGTCGCAGTGATGGTAGCCCTCGGAGCTGCAGCTTCGTTGCTTGTTTGAGCAGCTGAAGTTTGGAGGTCTCATGGACTTGACTGGAGAGGCAGGCTGCGGTTTTTCCTGTAGTAGCATCTCTTCTGCGGCAAGCTATGTGGGCTATGTTATGCTTCATTGTGTTCCGATGTTTCCTGCTGTTTGCAGATCAAGTCTGAGAGAGGTCGGGCGCCTGGCAATTCGGAAGGCAAGCGCCGGACGGGAGGCTTGTGCAGCTGGGTTTGTCGGGCACTGCACTGCAGACTTCGGCATGCCCTCAGCCCTGCGAGGCGGTTGGAGACGTTGAGAAGTGCCTGGCTTGTGTCGAGGGCGTCTTCCAAGGTGTGCAGGACACCGCGTGCTCCCGTGGAGAGCGCAGGGCCCCCTGTTGCTAACTTCCGAAACAGGCAGAGGATGGTTTCCATGGTTATGGTAGGGCTCGGAGGACACTACATACTGAAGAAGTAGACTGGTGGGAATGGGAGCCCGTTGACCGTGGTAAGACAAGAAGATTGCTTTCATTCCCTGGGCCATGTTCAGGGCTGAGGCCCGGTTCTACCACGAGACTCACTGCCTCAAAGCAGGACCTCGTCTATCTTCCCGGCGGCGTGGGGAAGAAGATGGGAGCATTGCGGGTGCAGCCCGGGCTGTCAAACTGCCACTAAGTGTCTTGAGAATTTGGGATGCCCTCTCTGAGAACACATTATTGCCAACACGCGCGGATCCGTAGCACATTGATGCCTTATTCTAAAGGTGTTTCCTACCGGACAGGCAAGTTACTCAGTTACTCATAGTCTACTGCGTCTACTAATGTCTACAGGCTTTCTGGCCAGGCTCTCGAAGTGCACAGGGTTCACAGACAGTTCCGGAAGATGACACCTGCGCAGTCCACGCTGCTGAAGATCGAGGGCGTCCTGTACGAGCTGGCCGTGCCCTCGGTTTCGATTTTGCAGGGCCTCGCGCTTCGTGCTGGTGGCGCCGTGTTTGCTTGGAACGGCTCTCCACTCAGGCGCTGTTATCCCATGCCGGGATTCGTGCTGCCAAGGCAGGCGAGTTTACTTTCAAGGAGCCCGGCTTGGTGTGTAGTTTCGAAGACTTGCCAGGCACCCGAGCAAGCACAACAGCGGGACGATGCAGCCGAGGCAGATGACTCGGCAGGCCTCTAGCATACACAAAAGGCCGTCTTATGAGATCTTATGAGTAGTGGAGTAGACTTAGGATATTCCTGTCTTCGCCGCTCCAGATTGAGTTTGGGGTTGCAGGGTTCCGGGCTCTAGGACGAGCTACTGCCCGAGACAGTTTCAAAGACACTGTGACCTGGTCAACAGCACAGCAATACTCCATCATACAGCGATGGAAGCCCCTTGAAGCCAGTGATGCCGGCCTTCGAACGGAACATCTCCAGCCCTCTGCCGGAAGAAAATGCGTGAGCCTACTGCGATTGACGTCTTCTCATCCCGTGGCCTCTTATTCGACATGTGGGGATGTCAGGAGAATAGCTTCGACTTCAGCTGGAGTTCTGGATACCGGGGCCGCGGATAAGTGAAAGTGTTTGCGATCCTGCACCCGTGCCTAACTACTTGCAAAGTAAACGAACATGTCTCGGGCATGATGACTACTGTGCTGCCTACCGCTTTTCTTCGAGTAGAGCTCGGAAGCGGCTTCCGGTCTTCTGGGTTTCGAGCTTGAAGGCCACAGGGGTTGAAGTTGGAGGAACCGCGGTGCGTGCAGCAGCCACATGGCTTGAAGCTGCGGAGCTTTCACAAAAAGCCCAGCCAGTTCAATTCGCTAATCCGAGCCGCAGAGTTCCAAGAGCCTTCGTCCCGCCAGAAGGAGCCCGGCTGCTAAAAAGGAATTGCAGCACCTCACCCCACACCCGCAGCAAGCATCTCGAAAAGCGTATCCCAGCTCCCTGCCAGCCTAATGTCTCGTGGGAGGATGAGCTAAGCCCTTGGCACTCGGACTGAGCCCAAAGCCAAGATCTCTTGCCCAAGCCATGTACTCCTTCTGAGCACAGCCTGAACCACCCGAACCCCAAAACCCCAAAACCCTAAACCCCTAAACCCTTAAACCCAAAGCCCTAAACGGCCCTAAACCCTAAACTTTAGCCCTACACCCGAAGCTCCAAAGCATCCCTAAAGTGGGACTCTGGTGGGCCATTCGCCCCCGAGCCTGCGTGCATGGACCCAGGACCGGGGGGGGGGGGCTTCTGTTTTAGTGTTTTCAGGGCTTTTGGGGGGTTTAGGGTTTAGGGCTTGTGACAGACTTCTGAGTCCGCGAGAGAGAGAGAGAGAGAGAGAGAGAGAGGGTTTAGGGCTTTTGGTAGGATTTGGGGATCGCAGTACGACACTGTGTCTGGGCGTTTTGGGGGCTTGCGGATTCGGATGCGGTGTGGTTTGGGCATGGAAGCCCACCTTGCCTGCCGGATTCTGCAACGAATTCTCTGCCTCTGGGCCTGCCCATTTGCCCGCGGCCTCAAGTAACGATACTGTATCGGAAGAGGGAGCTGCAGTTGAACACGACTAAGGTTTCTCAATATTGCCTGACTAGTTTTGCGGTTTGGTTGTACTTAGGATCCCACTACAGCACACAAGTTTCTATTTCCCACCTCTATGAAGACAAGCGGTGACAAGCGCATAAGTGGGATGTCTTTGTCGATGAGGACGGGAAGCGCCTCCGCGTGAGTTTGCTGCCGCCTTCCTGAGACATTCGCGGGACAGACTCTCCGACGACCCCAGGAGAAGCCTTAGAGTACGGCTGAAGCGGTTTAGGGTTCAGGGTTGAGGGAGTGAAGACTATAGTAGGCCTTAAGGGAACCCTTGTAACAAGACGTGCCAACACGTCAGTATCTTACAGTTTAGGGTTAGGTAGGGCTTATAGAGAGAAAGAAATCAATGCAGGAGCATGGCTGGGCTTCTCCGAAGCTAGAAAGTGACATGGGTTCAGAACACATGCTTCATGGATTAATTTGTGGGATGCGACATGGGCCCTGACCTTGTGCCTTCGTCAGCTGCAGCAGCCCAACAAGTTGTTTGTTGGCCGAGGTCATGGTGAGCTGGAGTGTAGCTTCCGGGCGCCTTGCCTACCTCCTGGACAACCTTGCTGTGATAATTGTCACTGCCTGGCTAGTGGCATGTTGTTCCTAGCAACGTACTTGCAGTACTACTCCTGCTATACGAGCCTGGTGAGCACAACCACTACCAAAGCCATGTCCACTGAGGTCACCCACCTGCCCAGTGGTGTCTTCTGGCTCGCTCGACGGCCGCTGTCCGAGCGGCAGCATCTCGAGGAGTTCTCTGGCCGCGAACCTCAGACTACGCACGATGATGGTTTTTCGCTAGCTCCTGTTTGAAGTATGCGTAGTGGTTCTTGCGGAAGATGTGGGGCTTCAACCCTCGCGATCAGCCTCGAGTTACATTCCCAAGCTTGCATCGGAGCAGGTGTCCTGTCTGTCTTTGGTCAGCTGTCAGCAAGTATTAGCTTGAAGATGTTTAAAGTCCTAAAGACGAGGTGGTCATTGAACTATAGCAGAACATATGTTCAGTCGTTTCCAGTTTCAGCAAGTGTTGGACATAAGCTCGCATCCATCAGCACGCCTGGTTGCGTTCGAACAGGAAGTAAGAAGCACGTCGGCTTGAGCCAAACGGGACCTCTTGCTCCTGCGGCTGAGAAGACTCAGAAGGGAACAGGTTGGCATTCAAACCAGTGCATAGGGTAAGGAAACCCCAAGCAGAACACGCATAAACGTAAACATGCGCCCAGGTAGCAGTAATCGGAACTGCACCAGGAGCTGTAGCAGGCAATGATCGCCAAAGCAAAGAGGGATCCTAAACTCAAACTCTTTTTGACACCATATATGACTAAATTACACAAGCTTCCCTGTGTTCACACTAGATATGACTACGTACATTTGCACAAAGATTCCCTATGTTCTAAATTTGCTCTCTGCCTCAATTCCCTTGTGCTCTAAAGTCGCTCTCTGGTTTAGTATTTACTTCGAACGTTGTCCTGGCTTATTTGCTGGAGCCCTGGCTGAGTTGTCTAGTAGCGTGACGGGATTGTGTGGAGCCTTGCCTGTCTTGCGCGAGAGTGAGAGCCGAAGCCCTTAGCTGCACAGCGTCAGAGGCGGCTGCTGCGTGAGGCCGGCAGGCTCCCGGGGCCGGCTAGCGCCGCTGAGCCCGAAAAGTAGGAACACTAGATATGTATGTATGTATATGTATGTACGTATATACATATATTTATTTATTTATTTAGTTAGTTAGTTAGTTAGTTAATTATTTGTTTATTTATTTATTTACTTGTTTGTTTATATTTATATTTACATCTATATTTATATATACATATATATATATATTTATTTATTTATTTGTTCAGTCATTTATGTACATTTGTGTATATGTACGTACGTATGTATGTGTATGTATATATATATACATGTTTACATTCATGTATACAGACATTGCAGGCTGATTTTATGGTATGACAGGTATCTGTAACAATTTGTATAAATATGCGTAGGTGTGCATGGTTCTTCTGCACTTTTTGGAGATGCTTTCTGGGAAGGTTGTACTCTGTTTTGGTGTTCTTGCTGCATGGACGGATTAGGTGCGCAGTTTTGGTGGAAAAGTTCGATTTCGGAGGTGTGTATTCTGGGTATACACTTCGCTAAGCTTCCGTTTGCTTGACTCTGGATGCTTTCGAGCCGCTTTCGAGCAGAGCTCTCTGCTTGGTGCTCGTGAACTCAAAGTCCCAAAGCCCAGAAGCACCCGCCCCAAACCCTAAACTCCTAAACCCGATGCCCTGAAGCACTTTCGCACGAAAGGTTGGAGCTCGTGACCCCGGCTGTGAAGGGAGTGTGTCTGTTGATTTTCAGGCTCCCGCCTCCGCTGCCAGCCGCCGATCTTCAGGCCATAATATAGGGCCTAGGGGCTTTTAATAATTACCTATACTATTTTGGGGGCTCCTTATTATAATTACACCATGGTTAGTACTTACCTGTCCTGTTTTGGGGGGTTCTTTAGGTACTGTCAAGCACGGCAAAATCACTGGAGGGTTCTTGGAATTCTCGGGTTTACATGATGTGACTCAGTCCTTGGTGTTGGCGCTTGCATCAGACATTTTGTTCCCTAAACCCTACACCCCTAAACTCTACACCCTAAACCCCTAAACCCTAAACCCTAGTTGCACCAATCCCCAGGCTTCTTTTTCCGGCGGTCATCAGATGTCTCCCGCAAGCAGCTGGAAGCGCTTCAGGCGCCTCCAGCGTGGAGATTTGGCCAGAAGGAGTCACCGAACACATGTCCATGGGATCTGCTCTTATTTCGGTACTGGGGACCTTATAGTAGATTGGCGTAATTGTAGCACCTGCCTGGGAACGATTTCAGCTACTACGAGTTAGATGGTGAAATGTGGAATCAATTTTTTGGATCTTGCCGGCGACAGTCTAGGTCAGCGAATGCACGCTCAGCGGGTGCATGCAACACGATACAACTGCTCCTCAGTCAACTTGCAAGGTCATCGGTAATATGCTCGCCGGATCGTCGAAGTAATTTGCCTAGCTGATAATGACACTGACATAGTGTGTTATAGCGAGAAGATTCCGACGTTTTACACTCAGTAGCAGGCCTGAACATTCAGCCAGCAAAACATGCAAGACAGCATAACTATAGCAGGTTTCATGTTAAAGAGTTACCGAATACATGCCACGGGATCTTTTGATATCTGCGCGCATTTCCATGGGTTTTCGTGTTCGGCCGAGTGGCCGGTCTCGCATGAGGAATTTCGGGTAAATCAACGGCCTAAGCATTAGGTTAGAGGACAGAATAGGTAACGAGGGTTGTGCGAAACATATACTCTCAGGCATGACTTCGGGAATCACACCAAGCCGCTAGACCAAGCCATAAGAGCCAGCCAGGCTAGGATTTATTCCAGTTTGCCGCAAGACTAAGAACGTCTTAAAAGTATCAAGACCTTTAAGATCCCCCAGCTCCACCTTTAATGCAGGGTTGCTGCGTCACTCCTTCAGAAAGACAGCTTGCCTCCGACTTGTACATAATATATGGTTTCTTCCGCTGCGCTGCAGCTGTTTTGCGTTTACGCAACAGCTCCTCACCAGCGTCCCTTCAGCTTCCGGATTGTCGTGCACGGAGCTCAGACTCGCCTGCTG